AGTTTTCAGTGAATTAAACGTGATGAAAAATATACAGTTTCGTAGAGAAATGAATGCTCTATACAGCTGCATAAAAATGAAAAATATTCATTTGTCCACTAGCTAATAAATTATTCGACAAAGAAACGGACACTCTGATTTGCAAAAATTTTTTTTTATAGGGTTTCGAAATTTATTCAAATTTCGGTCATTAAGCGAAATAAATCAAATTAAAACTATACAGCTCGATAGAGTAATCAATGCTCTATTCAACCATATAAAAAAGAAAAACTTTTCAAGTTTTGCAGAAATATAGTAGACTGAAGAAAACGAGTAAAAATAATTGAATCAACCTGTACAGCCCGATGGGCTCCACCCTATGGTATAATTAGATCTTTTGTAACTTAAATTGTATGGTCAAAAAATCCAAATTACTCACTTTTTACGCTGTTTGCTCAAATTCCAACTGTAGATCCTGCCCCGATTCAGTCAAGAACTTGTTCCAAAACTGTTATTCTTGTTCCAAGTAGAACTCGACGAGCTCTATCCAATGGTATGCTTATAACTTACATAGCTCGAAGTATGATTTTTCAGATTCTCACTAGTGCCATCTATCACCAGAAAAGCCATACTTCGAGCTATGTAAGTTATAAGCATACCATTGGATAGAGCTCGTCGAGTTCTACTTGGAACAAGAATAGCAACTTAGGAACAAGTTTCAGAGCGAATTGGGATAGGATCTACGAAAATGGGTTCATGAGTCCTCTAGTGATAAGTCCGGTTTTTTGGACATTTTGACCACATAGTTTGCACTATCAAAAATTCAATAATACCATTGGATAAAGCTCATTGAGTTGTAGTGGGAACAAGAATAAGAGTCTTGGAACATGTTCCTGAAGGAATTGGGGCAGGATTTACTTAACTGGGTCCATGGATCTTCTAGTGAAAAACCTGCTGTTTTGAAGTTTTTCACCGCATCGTTTGCGCTATCATCTATCAAATTATACCATCAGATGCAGCTCATCAAGCTGTACTTGGAAGAAGAATAGGAACCTTGGAACAAGTTCCTAGGCGAATTGGGGCAGGATTTACTTGAATCGGGTGCCAACATCACTTACGTGAATTTGATTTATAATTTATAAATGGGATAAAATTTCGCTTTGGTTTTTTGGGCCTAGTTTTATGAAAACTCCCCAAAACTTGAATTAACACTTATAAATACGCTAGAATTCTCGTTTGCGCTGTTTGGGCTAGTTTGGTGGAAAGCTGGCGGAATTTTGAATTATAATTTATAAGTGAGATTAAATTTTGGCTTTGACTTATTAGGCTACACTGTAATTTTTTTTTAATTCTACTTTTTCGAAAATCGATCTTGAAGAAAGCTGAAGCATTTTTGAAATTTTATGATTCATTTGACGAATTTCCAGCACCTTGAACATGCTTCATTTTCCAGTTTACAAAGATTCAATTTGATTTTCGAAAAAAAATCATTTTTGATAAAGTAAAATATCAACATTGATTTTAAAAAACTCGAAAATCAATGCCGATTTGGAAAAAATCGTTTGAACAATGATCAATATCGAGTCATTGTTCATTCACGTATATAAGCCAGGGAATAGTGCTATTCATTCATTTGTATTCTCCAGAAACTGACTAGTTAGTTGATAACTTGTTTTTTAAAGTTGCATGGTAAGTCAGTCTAGTTATTATACATTTAAATTAAAATTATTTATTTTTTATTTGGTACATTTTTCTGAATCAGATGTCTATAATATTATTTAAATTCAAATTTAAATTAATTGTCCATGTTATTTGATGCGTTTCTATGAATTAAATGTTTATTATTATATATTTCAATTTAAATTTTGATTATATTTATTCATATTATTTGGTGTATTTATATAAATCAAATGTATAAAATATTATTTAAATTGATGATCCATTTTAATTGATGCATTTTTATGAATCGCAAGGTTATAATATTATTTAAATTCAAATTTATTATTCATGTTACTTGGTGCATTTATATAAGTCAGTTATTTATAGTTTTATTTTAATTTGAATTAAAATTATTTTTTATATTATTATACGAATTTTACGTTCATATGTGAAAATAAAATTCGATTTTCGAGTTTTTAAAAAATACTCGAATTGATAAATAGAATCTGAAATTCCAGGAATGCCCATATGAATTCATTTGTGATTTTCTAATTAGAAAATCAAATTTCTTATTCTTAATGTTTGAAATATCTTATTTTTCGAAAAACTGAAAATTCCTCGGTGATTTCATATGGGCATTTCTAGAATATTCTTGAGCAAACTCTATAACTTATTTTCTAGTTTATAGTGTAGTTTTATATAACATTAGCCAAGTTTGAAATACCATTTCTAAAGGGGGTAAAATTTTCCATTTGGTTTTCTGGGCTAGTTTTATGAAAATTCCGCAAAACTTGAATTAAGATTTATATATACGCTAAAATTGTCCCTTACGTCTTTTGAACTAGTTTGGTGTAAAAACAGCCAAAATTTGATTTATAATTTGATTTATAATTTATAACTAGGATCAAATTTTGGCTTTCGCTTTTTCGGCTACTTATAGATCAAATTAGCCAAAATTGAAATTATAATTTATATTTGGAATAAAAGTTTCGCTTGGAGTTTTTGGGTTAGTTTTATTTGGAATTCTCGAAAGGTTGAATTATAATTTGTAATTGGCGTCAAATTTTGGTTTTAGCCTTTTAGGCTACTTTTGTATAAAATTAGTCGATGTTTGAATAATAGTACGTAATTGGGATGAAATTTGGGCTTTTGGCTTTTTGGGCTAGCTTTAGGAAGAATTCCCCAGAGTTTAAATCAGTGGCGGCGGAGCCTCTAGACCCGGTTAGGCTTAAGCCTTACCTGATTTTGGCTTCTGTAGGCTAAGTGTCACCGAAATTTTGAATTTGAAGTTTATTCGTTTCTATATAATTTGAAATTTTTTCGGTAAATAAAATCTTATTTTACTTTCAAAATTGATATCTCTTACAGTTTATATCTTTATTGCGATGAAAAAGAATAGAAAATAACTTGAACAATATAATAAACTTAGACTTAGTGATTCGATTGCATCGTAATGATTCACAGCGACACCTTTTGTTTAGACGGAATGGTGTGTGAAATAAACGAATCGTAGAATTACGCGATATCATGCACACAAAACAAAGAGAAAGTTCAGAGGTTATCCTCTTTTTTAAAAATGTAATCATATTATTCGCCTTGTGTTGTGAAATATAGCCTTAAAATTTTTCCGAAACTTGAATAACAAAGTGTGAAGAATTTTATTGTTTAGCTTATTTAAGTATTAACTTACTGGATTTTCTTAATCAATTTCGTTTCATAAGCTTATAAATATCCTATAAAAATGAATTCAGTATTCCATTTTTACTGATAAAAACTAGATATTATATTTGTGTTTATAAATATTAATAGGATCAAAAATGTTTTTGATATTCCGATAGTGTTGAAATTTTAGATTAGGAAAAAAATGTCATCAAAAAGATCTCCATCAATTCTCGAATATTTTACAAAAAAAGTAAAAGGACAGGAATTGTCTCCTTTGGCAGAAGATTCTATAAAACAAATGATTGTAATTGCTTTGAATAATTTTTTCAACAAGTTTTCGAGATAAAAATAGAACAATGTTTGCTCTAACTCAGTTTTCAATTCATATTGACCTATCAAGTTTGTCTAATGTTAATAATTTTCAGGCAAAACTGTGATCAATCTTCAAATCAATTTGGACTTGATAAGTCTGAGAAACCATCAACTACAGACAATTCAATACCACCATTAGCATCTACAACAAATAACTCCGTATTATCATCACCAACAATAAGAAAAAAATAATTTATCAGCATTGTCAACAACATCAGTTAAAAAAGATTCAGTATCTGTATCATCAATAACAAATTCCTTGGGTCAAACAATAATAGATATATCTAAATGTGATTTAAATTGTTGTAGTTCTTCTAAAGCATATCATCCCCTTAAAGAGGATGAATTAGTTTCGACAACAATTAATAAACGATCCTGTCAGAAAAAATGCTTTACAGATTATCCTTGGTTAACATTTTGTAAAGTGAGTCTTGTCTTTTAAGATGCATAATCTGAGTTAAAACTTAAATCTAAAAGAAATAATTTTTTTTCTTGCAGACGAAAAGGAGAGTTTTTTGTTGCCCATGTCACGAAGCATTTGAACTTGCAATTCATCGTACTAAAACAAAACTATTTTCTCATCATGTTACTTTTATAGTTAATGGTTATTGTGATTAGAAAAATGTCATATCAAGATTTAAGCTTCATGAAAAAACTAAACTTCACCTGGATTCAATTTATATCATCAATCAGCAAACGAAACCTAATGTAGCAATTCAATTAACATCAGCAACTAAAAAACAACAAGGACAACATTGACAGAGTCTTTCAATTCAAATTTCGTGCATCATATATCTACTTCGACAAGGTCTTGCTCTTAGAGGACATTATGACGAAAACAATAATCTGATTCAATTATTAAAACTTCGAAGTGTTGATAATGAATATTTAAACGAATGGATGAAAAATAAGAAATACATTTCACATGATATTGTTAATAAAATTTGCAAAGAAATTTATTTAATAATCATTTGGGATATTGTAAAAGAAGTACGTATGACTGAAATGGATGTGACAAACTTAAAAGTCATAATATAGCATGAATATAAATATGTATTCATCTGCTTCTTCAACTAGGTTACAGATTGCATTTTGAAGATTTCTCATGCAAATTTGCATAGTTGCCCTTTTATTACAACAAACTAATGCTATAACATAACTTGCCCATAGAAAAAATAGAGTGCATCAACAAGTCTGATGTAAAATCTTGACATTTTGCTTTATATGTTGTATATGAACAGAAAAAGGGGCTCAAATGTGTCTAGTTTTCTGCTCTAAATTTTTAAATACCATAAGTTTTTATTTTCAATTGATTATAATAATTGAAAATGATTCGACTTTTTTCACGTACATTTCCAGCAGAAAAATGGTTTTCTTTGATATGTGATGAGACATGTAATGAATCAACAACTGAACAATTATGCATCATCATTAGTTCCGTTGATTCTAACTACAAAATTTTTGAAGATGTTGTAGGGCTATATGGAATATCTGCACAAAATGCTCTAACAATTGTTGAAGCTATTTGTGATGTTATAACTCCATGTGGCTTAGACATAATTAATGGTCGCGATCAAAGTTACGATGAGGCATCAAACATGCCTGGAATATACGGTGGTGTATCATCAATAATTTTGAAGCAATATTCAAAAGCTATTTATATCTACTGTGTTGCACATTGTTTAGATTTAGTCATACATGATTTAACAGATCAATGTGCTTCTATTGGTAACTGCATACTTTATGTAAAAGATATTATTGATTTTATACGTCGATCACCGCAACGTCTTATTATTTTGAAAGAAATATTTTATCAAATATTGTTATCTTATACAAATCTTACGGCATTATGTCCAACTAGAAGGACTATGCACGCTGAATCATATGGTTCGTTATCAAAAATCTATGAACAAGGTAAAGAAATATTTGCTTATACTAAAAAAGATGCGGTGTCATTTTCGTAATGCTTACCACATAATATATGGCGAAACATAATCATGAAAACACTTGGTTTTGAAGAAAGCTTCAAAACTATTAGCGAGATGATCTTAAAACGATCAATATTTTCTGCCCATCTTCTCGTTTCTTTTGATACATAAGTTTTGCAAGGAAAACATTCGGTTAAGTACGAATAGTATCCTTAGTGATGCGATAATCTCTTTGTTGGAATGAGGAGTATTATTTTTCGTTAGCTAGCTTTTAAGACTTTCATACATCGATAGAAAGAAATGTTATTTTAAATACACCAGCACTTATGTTAAAGCTTGAATAGTATTTAAATAGATTAAAAAAACATTCGAAAATCTAAAATTAAAATTGAATTTTAGTTCAAGCAGCCTTGTACACAATAAGTGAAGAATAAGATGGTCCTGGTATAAAAGCAAATGGCTTATATGAACAGATAAACAAATTCGACTATTTTTTTTTGGATTAAAACTAGGTCACTTAATATTTACAGATACAGAAAAGCTATCACGTGCATTGCAAAGTTCTGACTGTTGTTTACAAGATGTTTTTTGTGCTGATGAAGCAATTATTCATCGTTTTCGACGTATTCAAGGTAAAAAATAAACTCTGTAAACGATCAAATACATCTGTTGAAGCAATCATTTCTTCTTTTTCATATGATATTAATTTTGAATTGTTTTATAATCAAGTAGTTCAAGATAGTGAAGGTTTAACAGAAAAACCTATTCTACCTCGGCTTCGAAGACCACCATGACGATATGAATCAAATACAATTCCCGTAAATTATGCAAGTTGTGAAGATTTTTATCAGAAACAATATGTTGAAACATTAGAAATAATTATTAACATGCTTCAAACTCGATTTACACAAAAGAATTTTAAAATGTTATGTGAAGTTGCAAATTTTATTCTTAATATATCTAATAAGCCACCTGATGGTTACAATGACTACATTAAAACAATTATGGATTTTTGTCATGATGATATTGATATTGAAAGATTAAAATCTGAAGCATTTAGGATTTCAGACTTTTTTAAAGTTGTTATTAACACAAATCAAATGAAAATAAAACTAATTACCAAAATTTCTACAGTTTGTGAAATTGGAAAACAAATGTTTCAAGAATTTGATAAATTAATTCGACTTTATTTAACTATTCCAATAACTACAACAACTTCTGAAAGAGCATTTAGTGCATTAAATCGAGTGAAAAATACACTTCAAAGTTCTATGACTCAATCACGTCTTAATCATTGTTTATTGGCACATATTTATAAGGAAAAACTTGATAAAATAGATCGAAATCAAATCATGTCAACATTTATATCATCAAATGAACAGAGATAGGCATTGTTTAGACTAATGTTTTAATTAAAAATAAATTATTCTTATAGTTTAAAAAATTTTGTCTTTCAGCAAAGATTTTGAAATTTTGTTGATAGAGATCAGCAATATCAAGAGAGCAGTTTTTTTGATAACAACAACACCAAACAGTCTGAAAACGACATATCTCATGGAGTCTCTCAGGCGCCATGGGGCTCATGCGCGAGAAACTATTTGAGGACGAAAATTATACTTGAACTGAGCCTCACCTAATGTTGAAACCTTTCGCCGCTCGTGCTTTGAATTATGATTTATAATTAGCACAAAACATTGGCTCTGGCATTTTTGGCTACTTTTATATAAAATTAGCGCAAATTTGATTTCTAATTCATAATTGGGATAAAATTTTCGCTTTGAGTTTGTGGGCTAGTTTTCTATAAAATTAACGAAAAATTGAATTATAATGTATAGTTGGGGACAAATTCTGGGTTTGCCTTTTTGGGCTACATGAGTGCCAGCGAAATATTTTTTGCAAATCTGACTTGTTTCCAAACTCGATTTTGACAACGACGTGAATCGATGCTATTTTCGATTTTTAGTGGATTTTTTCATGAATATGGTGTGCATTCGGTTTAGCTGTACGAAAGATAGAGTGAGCATTCAAGCAAGATAATGTTGGTAAAGTGGACACACTAGTCATTCGGGCTGTCAATAAACTGCTTATGAGTGTTTCATTTATTTGCGCTTTTGAAAGCCAAAATTTATCATATTAATCTGTGAGAAATCCATTTGGAACGCTTATTTCTACTACTAACCAGCGGTTCAAGCAAATGTAATGACTAGTTAGTTTAGTGCACCGCATTACCTTTTATCTTTCGGTTTTCAGAAAGAAAGGACACCAAGAAAATATTATTTGTTAGCTGAAGGACGGAAGCGCGGAAGAAATTGATTTGCCCTATGGAACTTTTCCATACCGAATTGTGCGTAATCGTATGTACTTAGGATAATCCAAAAGTCATGCGCGAGATACTTTATTTTCGTTTAGAAGACTTGAAGGAATTTTATTTTATTTTTGAGATGGTAGAGTAAGTGAAGCTCTATTTTCCCATGCTATTTGATCACTCTTCAACTAATATCATAATAATAAAATATCTATAAGAACTAATTTTGTGTAAAACTTCACCAACTGGTGAGGCAAATTAAATATTTCAATCATTTAATGCATTGTATTAAAAAATGAAATATACCACAAGATGCAGCCTGATATGCTCTACAATTTTTAAAGAAAAGTTTATTTTATATATGAAATAAGAAAAAAATGGCTTTTTCTGGCTAGCGAAAATTTGTTGTACAGAATTTCGGTGTTTTTTTAAAACAAGAAGTACACAATTAAAATAAGCTTTGTAGATTGTAGAGCTTTTCATGCTACATGTTGTGATGTATTTTTTTTTAAATAAAAGATATCAGGCAACAAAAAGATGAAATAAGAAAAAATGAATTCATCTGGCATCAAAAAATATCGTTTCCGCATAGTGCAAAATTAATCACTCAAAATATTGTTCATCTTGAAAACAAAAAGTGCAACTATAAAAGAAGTAGTCGTATGTGAAATGTAGAGCTTTTCACACTGCATCTTGTGGTATATTT